TTGGAGTTGCTTTGATTTTTAGATGTCCTAATGTAGCAACTGCACTGTTGAAATCGTTCTGTAAATATGTGTAGCAAAGATGTGTAGTTTGTATGTAAAAGACATACAAACTCATACAGATGAATTGACTTATTAAACCAGTATCATCATACATTGTATTACGTATTGTATTGTATTGTGTTGTGTTGCACAGCTAAAAGCAGGGCTGGTCTTTAGTCAGACCAGTTCAGCAGAATGACATAATTGTTTTGACTTGACTTGTTTGGTTACCAGGCTATCATATGTTGCTACAAACAACCCCAACATATTGTCCAGTATTAACCGTGCTCATAAGGTTACCCATGCATTATAGTGAACAAAAATGCCCACAAAACAGGACAGGCTGCCTTTTGAACTGTTAGCTAATAACAAGCCAGATGGTCCCTCTTCCATGTTAATTTGACACAATTGCTGTTATCTAAACTGGCCTCAGGTCTGAAATTAATATTCATTGTAGATGTATTTTATAAAAGAAAGCCAACATATTTCAGTACAAGTTGCCAGCATGAGCAATAGTGAATACTATTATAGAATTTCTTTATAATTGTAGTTTTTCCATTTAAATCTTAAAACACATCTAAACCAGTAGTAGATCTGCCTTCAACTAACTTATTTTCAGACAGAAAATGTCTGAAACATTTTTGCCGTATTGATCAATAGGTTTTCTTTATTTATTTTTTTCTTTTCCACTGATTGGACGTTTGCACTCCAAAGCAGGTTTCACCAACATACCAAATCAATAGTGAAGGAGAAAAGGCCTTGTTCTCTGTGTTTATGGATCCGTGCTTTCTGATGGACTCTGCCTCCTCTGTACGTTCTGATCATTGTCTGTCTGTTGCCAACGTGACTGGTGGGATAGTGTTACCTTTGTTACAGTTCACGTATACTATTCAGTCTTCAGGTATTTGATGTGTTCTACGTTCCAGATGTATTTAAGCATGATACTGTATTAGCACAGAAAAAGAACATTTAATTTCACTGTACAGATTATTGCAAAACGAACTGAAAAGAAATAAAATAATGGTTGGCAGATAATATTGTTATTGCACTACAACACAAATATTACCTTTAGGGTACAGAGTTGCTTTATCTGTTGCAGTCTGAACCAGAGTCGTCTTGGAGTTTACATGTCTCTATAGTCACGTCTGCACACTGTCATGGACTTTTGCTCCATTTTTTGTTGGCCAGTGCACATTTTTCTGACATTCATAAAAAAAACATTACCTGAGTATTGTTTTCAACAAACATGAAGTTGAATTTGCAAAAAAAAAAAAAAAAAAAAAAAAAAAAAAAAAAAAAGCTTATGTAGTTATCTGAGCCTAAAAGAAAAAAAATCTGTCAGAAGGTAGTTGTTCTCTCTGGAGACATGAAGAGGTCTTCTGGGGTGCATCTAGAACAGAGCGTGACAAATGCCCTACTTTTTCAACAAGCACACAACTTGTGTGATGAGATTATGGTAGTTCATTCTCTTGATGGCAGTATTAGGATTAGGATACTAGATCCTGTGTGGCAAATCCTTGTCCCCTATTCCTAAGGTGGAACCCATAAACACCTGTTCACTTGTCATCAAATAATTTGACTGTTTTTTTTTTGTTTGTTTGTTTTGTTTTTTTATTGGTGCACTGGTTTCAGGCCAGGTCACCAATAATGTCTAAATCAAGCTGGCAGCAATTGAAGCAATTGATTATTTCCCCCATGGTGATGGAACTTCAAAATAAATCCCCTTCTTTTACTGCTCAAGCTGCAATAAAAAGTACCTCACTATGCAATTAAAACAAATAATCCATGAGCTCTACAACAAAGACTACAGTAGCCTAATCAGACCATTTTAATGTAGAAATAGCTTTGTGTTGATCTCTCTAAAATATAGCTTATAGTTTTCAAATAGAGACCATTCTGCAGTAGGATCTTATTGGAATAAGACTTACAACTCTGTAGAAGCACACACACCTCCAAATTGCAAATAAGATGGTAGACTATAGGATTTTTTCAGTATCAATATGATCTATATGTAAAACTGTGCAAATTGGCTGGGAAGGTTGATCTGAAGAACTTCACTGTCAAAATTGCTTTCACATTGGATATAGATTTTCTTGATATGCCATATCTCAAACATGTTTGAGTAGTCATGGAATTCCTGGAGACCTGTGTTTGAAAGATACCCATCTTAAAGCAAAACCAATGTTCTTCAACGTTTTTACATGGACAGAAATGTTCCATTATGTGTTTGAAAAAAAACCCTTTTAAATCCTGTGAAGGATTAATATTTCCATGATAAGAACATAGAAAGGTTATCTCATATACCATTTACTAACTTTCCCCTTCATCTTTCACTGATGCATTTTAAGGTCTATTCTGAGCACAGGACAGGCCCCATTTTCTCACATATGCTATGGCTCCATCAGTTTTGATGAACAGGCACAGAGTCCACTCTGCTTTGCAGTGACATGTGCGTCAGTGCGTGTGCCGCATCGAGGCTCTGTCTTCCCAACACCACTTGCCTTGCTTCCCCTAGAAACTGACTCAGCAGCAGTCGCTGTCAGGTCTGCTTAATTTTGTCATGCTTGACTTCCTGCTACCTGAAGTCTCATCTGCCAAAGCCCCTTAATCCACTTGTCACTCAAAACAACAAAAAGCTGGAAAGGTGCTCCCTAAATGAAGACGGGGTTGTTAAGCTTTGGTGGGGTGAGCATTGCGTGTACTTGCAATTGTTTTGCAGGTGTGCAAGCATTGATATGCAACATCGATGAGTTTTTCTTTTTTTCTTTTTTTTTAACTTTTATTTGATTAAGTTGAGTCCACCATATTGGTAAACAAGGTTTTACTATGTCTTCTACAGAGCTTTGTTGTGACCTAGAAAAAGGTCACAACAAACCTTTTGAAGAATCCAATTTCTGTTAAAATTTTGATTATATTTTGATTTCCACTATAACGTGTTTGTGATGATTATACATAGTATAATATGGCAAACAAGAGTAATTTCTGCTAGTTCAATTTGCAATTCTATCAACATCGAAACTACGTTTTCCTCTTATAGATTAATTAAATGTAATTTTCAAATACTACGAATTGACAAACATATTAATTATCTGTAATTAATCAATTATATGTTGATTGAGTTGCTTGTCCTGGAAACAAAATATGCTCTAACAGTCTAACTGATGGATTGCGGGAAAAATATACCAGTGTGTCTTTCAAAAGTGTCTGTCATATTGCCCATTTTCATGGATGGAGAAAAAAAAATCCACAATTTGGACATTTTTATAAATACATGCAAAACTAAACAACTACGATCAGCAAAGCTTGAAATTAACAGCATCCAGCTTTTTCTAGAATAGGTGTCATTTAACTTTGGGCAGATGACACAATTCTACCTGCAGCTGTGGCTGCTTTACTCTCCATGCACACCTTCAGTAGTATTTTGGCTTTGCTTGATATAATCTTTTCCATGTTGTCTCTCCTTCTTAGAAAAAAATATAAATAATAATTATGTTTTATTATATATATATTATACATACATTTTATATGTATGTATATATGTATTATACATACATATAAAAATGGCCACAAAGTCATGTATGAGGCTGCAAAGCTACAGAAAAGTCATAGTCATAATATTATGCCTTACTGTCATCATTGCTGTTAGGCAGGCTTGCTAATCAAGTTAACTGCCAAATATGAGAAGTAGTTATATACTGTCATGTTCACGTTAACGTTGTTCATCTATTTATTAATTACTTTGTTTAAATGCATGTGTTTGTTTAAGCAATCTAGTAGATTCAATATCAAGGAAACATGGATCATATCAAGGTCACAGAAGACATTGCCATAATATCCCTATGACTTAAGGCAATGTCATAACATCCCTAATTAGTATATAAGAATATTAGTATTAAAAGAATGAAAGAAATTTATAGTTGCACTACACTTTATAATTTCAGCTGGTCATTTTAATCTACCACTGTAAAAAGTACATAAAAGGTGCTTACCGGTAAGTGTAAAATATGTTTTTTTGTGTACTATTCAACACCCTCCTTCTTTGCGCAAATCAAGAATGACCAAATGGCTTAATTACTGAAACATGGTCAGAAAGGAGGGATCTTTCTAAAGGCCATTTGGTTTTGGTTGATAATATTGCTCAATGGTATTAATATTTAATTGCTCTGGTTTCTAGCTTCATTGCCTCAGTGTCTGCAGACAAATCAGTCAGTGAATGACTTCATTGCTCAAAATGTTTCAAGCAGAAGTCCCACCTAAACACAAAGTATGAATTTTATAATGATAAAAGTAAATTAACCTGGTATTTAATTTCACCATTTCTGCTTTAGGAAGACAGCAGAACCATTGAATTAAAAATATGCAAACAAATGAAATTCTGAAATATTTAACTCTTTTACCATGGAAGTGTTTGACACTTTTTCTTTCTTTTTTTAGGGAGGGGGTGGGGGCCCTCAGTTTAATTTAATTTAATTCTGACAGCACAAGTAAGGTGTTGATTTGACTAATCTGACAAATTTCTATGTCCTTGACCAGCAATCTGTTATAATTACCACTTATCAACTCAACCATAACAAATTATGTGGGTCAACATAGGCTGTCTGAAATGTCTTACAGAACGGGCCGCATTAAAAAGTCATGGATCAGGTGATATGAAACTTTTCAAAATGGCTTTTCCCTTGGTGTCATGAAATACAAGTTTCCTTTTTTGTGCAAATTTACATTATTAGGCTAATGAAAAAGCACTATGGGCAGGAAAACCAAAATTTCCAATCTTGAACAAAAGTACCCTATTTGTGGGCAGTCTGCAAATATGTTCTCAACATAATTCATATGAACAAATTATGTTTTTTTCTGTGAATTCTGTTTTTCACTGATTGTATAATACCTATCATGTTAATGGTGCAGTTATGATGCAATGGTAAAAAACATGCATGATATATTATTGGTAAAAATATACAAACCTTGATGGCATTTGTGGAGATCTGGATCTCATGCAACTTCCTCATTGTACCATCACGGTCAACGAAATAGGATGATGCCAGCTGATGGAGGGCTTCCACATTCTGCGTCGCATTAACCAGCTTTCTGTCCAGCTTGTTCTTGGCCAGATACATAGTCAGAGCCTCTTCCCCTACAAGCAATAAATATTAATTTGATCAGTACTATGCAGCTTCAATTTTTGTTAAAGGTTTGCTCACATAGCAAATGTGATAGGATGACAACATTTCCATTTCTAAAAGGTTGCCATGTCTATAACCTGCAAAAAGAGTTCTTAACACAATGCATAAGTCTGAGATTAGAGTATGCAGGCAAGCAGTTTTATCTTGAGAAGTTGGATGTCCCAGTTTTCCAGAAAGTCCATATATTTGCTGTTTGTCTCCACCTGGCGCATTCTCATATACGTACATGGATTTACACCCATTGAAATTGAATTATTTTCAGGGAGAGAAAATTATTCTCACTGCGTCACCACAGGACTTTTCTGCTGAATGTAAACAAATATCTTGTTTTTTTTCTTCTTCTTCTTCCAACTACACATTAAGGCAGTAGACAAAGAGCAACACAAACACAATGTAACAGAAGAGACAGTGCACATTTATTCAAGGCTAAAACAGCTTCAAAATGAGGTAATTTCAGAAAAGGATCCTTTGTTTTTCTCTCATTATTGCAATATTTTTTTATTATAACACATGTGCTCCAAATCACAAAAATATCAGTGTGGAAAAAGATATGAAGTCATAAAAAATAAACACTTTGCCACAAAGTATTTTGTTGTTCTACCACAGTTTTATAAAACCAAATAAAACACCTAGGATAAGGCATCCATAATAAAAAATAAAAAAAAGTTGTCATTGTTGTAACTGTCTTTTGCATGAGTTGCAGATAATGGTCTGTGTTTCTGCTTTTGGTGTGTTCAACAGATGGGTGGTTGCATTTTGGGATCAATCTGGGATGCATCTTTCTGTAAGGAATATTTTTGTTCCCAGTATAAAAGATTAGAGTTTAGCTTAGAGAAATTTCTGAATCCTAACACACCAACCAACCGCTTTGTTTATTTTTCTCATCCAACACTTTATCCACCAGTGTTGGGCTCATGCCTGTACTTACAAACTACTGAGTAACAGAACTGGCACACTCCAGGGCATTATTTAGGTTTATTTAATTAAGTCAAAGTTAACAATACTGTATCTTTGACAACTATAACAATAATATATCAAATTATACAGAACATTTTGTGAGAATCTGCTTTAAATGTGAACTTTTTTTTATAGTGAACGCAGTGAGGTCACAAGAACAATGTGAAATAATTAATATACGGCATCACAACAAAAACTATCTCTTATTCTATATTCATTTACATGACACACTGGGACAGTGCTTAACACCTCTTTGGTTACTCATATGTCTTACTCTTTGACCTTTAACATTTAACAACAATTTAAACAAGATCAGATTGCCTTAAAATTAGAGCAAGGCAAACCTTATGGCTGGGTCTTGTTCAACATTTTGTCACATAGGTTTTCTAAATAATTATTCAGCCTCAAGAAATGAATTGGAATTGGTGACTTAACTGCCTGTGACCATGACTAAGGGCAAGTAACAGTCAGGGCAAATGTCTCATGCCTGGTTACAACCACTGAGGATATGAAGGCCAATTCTGATGATGCCATGCTCTCTCTCCCTCAGGGGTTTGCAAAGTTACTTACATACAGTTGACTTACACTACATAACAAGAGTAATGCTCCAATATAAAGCCCTTCATCTGCCATTTTGTATCGCTATTGCAACTTAGTGTGGCACTTACCTTATACCATAAAGGTTTTGTAGGTCATGCTGCTGGAACTGCAAGCTTGTAACAAATTTAGCTTTAAAAATCATGTGAGTGCATCTTTCTGTAAGTAATACCTTGTTACATTATTACTCCGCACCTTAGAGACACTGTGCCAGAAACAATTAGTGCATGCAGAGCTTGTGTGTTTGTAGCTGAAAGGCATCTAAAGGCAATGCTCTTTCCTTTTTTTTCTTTTATTTTACCTCAAATCAACAAAAGGTTGTATTTGTGTATGCTACAGCTTTAGCAAAGTATGCATTATTTTTATTTTTTATATTTTTTGTGGGTCCACGTTAAGGTCAATAACTGCCAGAGGAGGAAATAAGGTTTTAAGGTAACCTGATGGCAAGGTGGGACTCTATTATCCGTAATTGGCACAAATCCTGTGGGTCATTCTAATGGGTAACATTACATTATATTGCTTTGTAATGTCACATCTAGGAAACAGGCAAATGAAATTTGATCTTCAACATGCACAAGACTTTACACACTGGGAACTAAATTGTCATCAAACTCTTATTATCATGGAAAACATTATTGCTGGTTTCAATTTATCAAACGAGAACAATTCCTCCTTTTTTTTCTTCAGAAATACAAAAATAAGGTAAAAATATCACCTCCAAAAATAATTCTGTATTTATTGGCCAGGCCAGGATGTAAATAACATAATTTAATGTATAAACTTCCTGATTTGTTACAGTCTTATATAACACATACTGTAAAAGCCTGGGTGTTATTGGCATACAAATTATATAATGGTCAGTTCTGGTGTGTCAATCAACAAACGAACAAAATAAACATTAAAATACTAACTGTTTTAAGGTATTTAAAACAGTTACAAAAATATCAGTGTGAAAAAAGGTATTCTCTGACAGAGAGGAGAAGAAGAAAACTACTGAAGTGAAGCTGCTGAGTTTTATTTCACAACCAGATGGAAAACAAGATGGTCGGTGTTTTGAATCAATGTTAGATTACGCACACAATTAAAGACCTTATTCCATATTTGAACTATAGACTCTGCCAAAATTAATTTTCATTGCAATTATTTTGGCTTAGTACTGAAAAATGATAACTCTTTCATTAAAAAATTTATGATAATTGGCCCAGCTACAGGGAGAACGTTTACTTCAAAATTTACTAGAGAACAGGGTTCCCACTGGTGCACAAAGTGGGCCGGTACACACAAGTTTTAGATTTGAGCTAATTCTAATTAACACAGCCAACATCAGGAAGACTTAAGGCTCCCACATACTTGGGCGTACTGTGCATATTTTGCACAGTACGCCAAGAGTGTGGACTCTGCACATCAACAAGATATGTTAATAAATATTAAAGACAGCCCAATAGATTTAACTAACTAAAAAGGAGACATAACTAAGTGCACATTTTCCTTTCAAAATTAACTTAAAGGGGTAGCATTATGTATTTCACATGTGCCACATGGGTAGAATTATTCTCAGGAACTGATAGAGTTTGACGCAGAAATTCTAAATTCAAGACAGGAAAGAAAGTGGTTTGATGGGGAAAAAAAATCCCTTATAAAAATAAATCAAAAGGTTCAACATAAAACAATTTGCCATTAAGCCTAGTAATTCCATGCAACCCAATACATCATGAATTTAAACCAGTAGTTTGAGAACAACAAGACATGTAACAGAGGAAGAGTGTGAAGCGTATATAGATTTACCAAAACAAGCAAAACTAAAATTCCCAAGCTAAGTTCGGCAAAATGATGCATACAGGATAAAAAATAAACTACCTCAATTAAGTTCTAACTGAGAGATCTAAAAACTAATTTGCATTAGCTCCTAAAAAGTTAACCCTCAAGCCAACCTCATTTCAATTTAATTCCTTAGTTTAATTTGCAGGCACTACTGTTGGATGTCAACAAATAAACACATAAGTTTGTAGCCATTGCTAGTTTACAATACTTTTCCAATGTTCTTTGGTGTAGAGTGCTCTGGTGCTTTTCCTTTCCTACCTTTCTTTGACTCTGTATCTCATCTTTAAAATTGCCAAAATAAATTTGCTCTAAAGACAGAAATAAAAACATTGGTATAAAGGTCAAGCTCTTAAAAAAATGCCCTTTTTGTTTTTGAAGTACCAAAATATAACAAAAAATGTAAGAGCAAGTTCACATCTTAACTGCACATGTTAACATATGAGTTGTATAATATAGGAAGAGTCTGTTTAAATAAGATATCGGCCTCAGCATCATTAAGTGATCAGCTCAAAACTTTCCAATATATATTTGAAGCTGTAACAGCATTCATTGACAACCAGTTCTTTTTGTCCCAAAATGATAAATCAACTGAAGCAAAAGAACTCCAACAGAATTTATGAAACGCTTTATGTAAAACAACAAATCAAAAACTTCCCTATTGAGATTGCCATATTGAAATCCTAGATAATGGAATGAAAAGTACAAGGAAGAACAACACACCAGATGAAGTCATTAATATTGAAGACTCTTTCAGCTACAACTTGTCCACTTCTCACAAAGTCACAAGAAAATTGCATTTTTTTCCCCCGTAGTCCTTCACTCCAGTAATGAGTGATTGATTTGGTGGCATGACAATGCAGCTACCAGAAAGGTATATCCAAATTAGTATTATAGCTAATATTCAGCAAAGGAAGCAAAACATAATTTCTTTAATGGAAAAGTAAGGGAAAATGATGACAAACAAACTACATCTTATTTTGTTCCAGTTGTTATTAATCAGAGGCAGCTGTAAATAAACAGGTTTTCTTTATGTGTTTAGCTGTCAAGTCATTCACTGATTTATAAACTAACAAAAATATGTATCATCTCTGAACCATAGGGAACCAGTGCAAAGGAAAGAAATTGATTTAGCTCCAGATTGTTAGTATCAAATCATATAACGTCAATCAAAATAAACTTCCTATGTGAAAAATATGAGTTCCAGAATTCCTTGGCATTAGAAAAAATATAAAAATAAGCTAAACCCTAAATTGTTAGTCTGTCATCTGCAACAAACCCTGCTTAGAATAGGTTCCATTTGGATAAGTTGTAAAAACCGAAATAACTGTAGACTGGTTGTAAATAATATCTGCAGCAAAAAGTAGCAGCACTGTAAAGACGTATACCACAGCAATAGCACCAACTGTAACAAGGTTTTTCATAAGCACAGGACATTGACCGTTAGAACATTTCTGTCATTCTTCAAATTGAGACTATGCAGAAAGCTTTTTGCTGCAGGTAGGCCATAATTAAACATGCCTATGGCTTATGCCATATATTGTTCCTCAGGCTTTAACAAATTGCTCGTGTTCGAGCT